CTAATGCAAGCTCAAGTTAGAGAACCGCTGCTTTATATAAACAAGACATGCCCAGCTGGCATGGCTCACTGGTTGAGTGTTGACCTATGAACCAGGAGGTCACGATTTAATTCCTGGTCAGAGCACAAGCCCAGGTTGTAGGCTTGATCCCCAGGAAGGGGCGTGCAGGAGGCAGCCGACGGATGATTCTCTCATCGTTGATGTTTCCATCTCTCTCCCTCCCCCTTCTTCTCTGAAATCAATAAAAAATATATTTAAATAGACAAGATCTTACCATCCTTGGGCCCAGGTACATCCTGGCATAGAGAGGAGCCTGCTGGCCGGTGTCTCAGATGCAGTGACGTCAGGGTCCCAGTGCAGGCACAGACACGTCATCCCTGCTGGCATCACCCTTCCCTTCTCTGCCACCAGCTGCGGCTCCCGGGGAGGCTTGGCAGCACAGTGCGGAGGGGTTGCTGGGTGTGTCTCCCACAGCCGCGCACTCCTTGCACTTTATCAAAGCGCAGGCACTGTTGCTTTTCGGTTGATTAATGTTCAATTCTCCGTCTATTATGAACCTCCAGGCTTTAATTACTACACCATTACCCAGTCGATTCCTTGCCATTTGATATTTATGGCTTTTATTATGCCTCTGTCTGCAACTGCCTGGTTTTATTCTGGAAGGATTTCACCTCATTAGCTGGGATTATACCATTCTTCTCATTTGTCTGGGTTTTTACTTATCTCGGTGTGTGCTTCCTACCCGTACTTTGTGTTTTTACCAGCAGGACCACTTGTTTGTTCTGTTCCTCCGTTTCCCGGGGTGCTTTGTTCTTTTGTCCTTGGAAACGGTGCTTGGTACACTCTGCTCTGGTGTCCGGCCCATCTCAGCAGCTGGTGCCACCGCCCTGCCGGCCTGAGGCCTGGATATGCCAGGCACAGCCACTTCCCGCTAAGTGGCCAGTTAGGGCTCAGGGAAGGTGTGCAGTGGGGCTCGTTTCTTTGTAGAAGAGAATTCTGCTCAAAGTAATTGCTCAGTGTGCCCAGCAGTGCTTTGCTAACACTCCTTTCCTCTGCCATCCTGTGCCTCAGAAGAATGTATGGCTTGGTTTGCTTGCACATTTTTTAAAATATGTTTTTATTGATTTCAGAGAGGAAGAGCGAGGGAGAGAGATAGAAACATCAATGATGAGAGAGAATCATTGATCGGCTGCCTCCTGCACGCCCCATACTGGGGATTGAGCCCGCAACCCAGGCATGTGCCCTTGACCGGAATTGGACTCAGGACCCTTCAAGTCCGCAGGCCGATGCTCTATCCACTGAGCCAAACCAGCTGGGGCTTGCTTGCGTATTTTTTTAGGTTTCTCCCTGAACCTGCTGAATAAGAGCTTGGGGAACAGCCCGGCACTCTGTTTACCCCTCCAGATGGTTCGGATGTTGGTGCCCATTCAAGTTAGACAATCACTCGTCTAAAGAGACCCTGGTTGGACCTGACTACGCAGGAATAATGTTCACTCCCCCTGAGTGCTATCTGTCAGTCCTCTCTGTGGCAGCCAGTTTTGTTTTCTGTTGGGTGTGTTTTCCCCACAGCTGCTCCTACAGCCATATGTCACTGTGGTCAGCAAACCGCGGCTCACAAAATACCACGTGCAGGTGCACACGTACAGTGCAAGTGAAACTTCAGAAGAGCTGGTATTTTGTGGAAGAGCCACACTGAAGGGGCCAAAGAGCCACATGTGGCTTGCAAGCCGTGGTTTCCCGAGCCGTAGTTTGCCGACCACTGCCATATGAATATCTCGGTAAAGCAGGCGGCAGCACCTGGAGCAAGAGGTCATGTGGTCAGGATAGCAATAGTAGACCAGTTGTCTTCAGCATTGATGTTTCTTTCTTGCCCTCTCCGTTCATCCCTGGGGATCGAACCCACAACCCAGGCATGTGCCCTGACCGGGAATCCAACCGTGACCTCCTGGTTCATAGGTCAGTGCTCAACCATTGAGCCACACTGGCCTGGTTATTTTTCCCTTACAGTTTACTTCCAATGTTATTTTGTTTGGGGTTCAGGGGTGCACAGACTCATGGTTAGACAGTCATATATGTGATTTCACTTACATGTGGACTCCAAAGAACAAAACAAATGAACAAACAAAACAGAAGCAGACTCGCAGATACAGAGAGCAGACTGATGGCTGCAGACGGGAGCTGGTGGGGAGCTGGCTGGGAAAGGTGAAGGGATGGAGAAGTGCAGGTTGGCAGTCACAGAACAGTCACAGGGATGTACAGGACAGCACAGGGATAGTCACTATAATTGCCTTAGCTGTGAATGGTGCCAGGTGGGGACTGGAACTATTAGGGGGACACTTTATACTGTTGAAGATTACGTAACCACAGCACAAGTTTATACACGGTCCTTGGTGGCCGTGAGGAGACCACGGTGCTCCATGTGACCCTCAGAGTCGAAGCAGCATGAACAAGAAGCCTCCTAGGTGAGGGCTGTGGGAGGAACCCTCCAGCTCACTCCAGGCCTGGCTACAGCGAAACAGGAAGGACGAGACTTGCCCCCAACAGGGAGCACCCTGCAGCAGGGGAGGGAAGCGTGTCCGTGACAACAGGCTGGATCAGGCCCGTGACAGGATGCCAAGACTGAGAGAGCAGGTGGCCCAGGGGGCAGAGAAGGAGTGGGCTCGAGTGTGGCCGGCCTGGTACTCAGCATTTAGTGATCACACAGGTTTGTGATCTGGGCCACTGGGAACTCAGTCGACATTTATGGAACTAAAACCGGTGGGGCCGGTTCGCACAGCTCCGGTCACTGACCCGAGAGAGCGGCACTCATCTTCAGGGATAAATGAGATAAGGGAGACCCTGGGACCTTTGTCCAGGAGGGCCTGGATTTATGGACTCCTTTCAGTGAGGTCGAGGACATGAATCAAGGTTCTCTTAGCCTCTTGGACATGAAATCCATGGAGTTTATGGCGGCCTATATGTGAAGGCGATTGTAAGCTGCGACAGGGCGGGGAGAGATTTGGAAATGGAAGATCTCAGAAATTGCATTCCATGCCAGCCACGGCTACTCAAGGATTCAAGCACCTCACCTCTTCCTCTCGCCTCAGCATTCTTAATAGGATAATAAATACCTGCCTATCAGTCATGCAGACTTACCGGGATCAGTGGGTAGATCTATGTATATGTACCCTATAAACTGTAGTGTTGTATAAAACTGTGGTACTTGATATTGTACCAATACCCATGTTGTATTCTATAAAACACGCGACAGTTACGGCTTCCTTAGGTGTGAGACGTGTTCTAGGGTGAGTCGTCATAGCAGGTTTTAATGCCCCATCCATCGTGGTGTCTGTCCCAGTGTGTTTGCTCTTAGAACTGAAGAGGGAGGGAAAAATAAAGATGAAAAATAGGCCCTGATATTTCTAAATGGGACTTTTCAAACTGCTTTAGGCCAACACAGTTAATACCAGAATGTTGGGATTGAATATCGGTATAGCAGTGCTTTAAATTTGTAAAGAAGCTACCGTCCAGTTTAAGAATTGTTTCTCATTATAGTAACATCTAATTTCTAACACTCATCATCATAGCCGTTTCTGAAATATTTCTGCAAGGGTGTTGACCTGAAAACCCACACAGGTACCTTTAAAGATCTGTGTCTAAGGAAGTCAGTCCGGAAGGAGTGCCTGCTTTTCCTTCGATGGTGGGTTAATACGATAAGATGGATGGCGTGTTAAAGAGCAAAGAGCAGGGCTTCTCCAGGCTGATTTACATATTGATTACTTAAATTACTTCTTAATTTAGTGCGGGCTAATAAACTGTGCCTTGGAAATGTTTCCAGAGCATTTATTGGCTGCAGTAATTCTACCTACAGTGTATGCAGATTGCAGCCTCATTAAATATTGATATGCTCATGAAATGTTAATCAGATGTTAATGTGAAGTGCAGGGGAAGGTCCTGGCTGGGAGCTGGCTGGAGACCACCTGTCTCCTGTCTTTATGTTCTGTCTTCTGGCTCTGTTTCTCCGTTCATGGCCCCTCATCAGGAGGTTCACATTGGCTCCTGGATGCCTGTGTCTCCTAGACACGATTTGTAAAAGAGAAGTAAAGACTCCGCAGGGGTGGGAATTTAATTGTTCTGCCTCCTGCTTCCTGAGCTGGAATTCCTGGCTAGAACCAGGGAGGATTCTGTTCAGGAAGATTGTGCAGGAGAGACCGACCGTGAGGAGGAACTAGACTTTCCAGGGCCCCACCGTGTCCTTCCCAGGTCGGTGGGAGAAGGGGTTTGGATGGAGTTAACCTACAGTTTCTTCAGAGATACACCAGCCCAGAACCGGTGCTTCCTAAAGAGACTGCAAGAAAGACTTTGAATCGTAACTCCCAGGGACAGTAAAGGCTGTGCTCCTGGTGATACTCAGTGCACTCTCCCCGGGTTCCCTTTTCCAACCAGTCAGGGCACCACTCACTTGTCTAAACCTCATGATTAGCCTCTGAGTCTTAGAATGACAAGGGGAGTTATATCACCACTCAAATAAAGACATTCTCTAATGTACTATTTTGCAAAACTCGCTTGCCCCGGTAGCTCCGTGGTGAGAGCGTCAGCCTGTGCACCAAAGGGTTGCAGGTTCAATGCCCGGCCCTGGTCAGGGCATGTGCATGAAGCAATCAATTGATGTGTCTCTCACATTGATGTTCCTCTCTCTGTCTTCCTCCCACTCACCCTTCCACTATTACTAAAACAAAAACAATGGAAAAAAATACCCTTGGGTGAAAATTAACAGCAACAATTCTCTCCATAGGTGTCTCTGTAAATGACAACAGCAAATAAAGCCTCCTCTCCCAGGGTCTCAGAGGCGGTGGGAGATGAGGGAAATGGGTGGGTTTAGGTGCCACGGTACCTGCTGAGAATACACTGAGAGGGCAGTTCGGCCCCGGCCCCAAGCGCCTGGCTTGGCGAGCTGGGGTGGCTATTTCTCTGCTCTGGCGCAGCCCTGCCCTCTGTGACCCGTCCCTTCCTGCTTACAGATTGTGCTTGAGAACAGCAGCCGAGAAGACAAGCATGAGTGTCCCTTCGGCCGCAGTAGCATCGAGCTGACCAAGATGCTGTGTGAGATCCTGAAAGTGGGCGAGCTGCGTAAGTACCCTTGTTGCCTGCCCGCGTGGGGATGACGCTGGGCGGAGAGCAACTTCCAGGGTCGTGCCCTGACCCCCACGAAGAACTCCCCAAGTGCCGCCGGCTCTTCCCTGGGGTCGCGTGCACCGAACTTCCTTTGGCTCACATCCACAGCATAGGTGTCTCTGCGTGTCTGCTCTGGGAACAAATGTGGTTAAAACCTATAAGAATGGGAGAGTGGCAGGTACCTTGACTGCATTTCAAATTTTATAAAAATGAGTGTGTATTAAAACAGCCTTGAATTTAATACTTGGTTAGGAAAAAGACCTATGAATTTCTTTTTTAAAAAAATCCAGTTGCTAGCCTACCAGTAGATCGCTTTCTTTCCTTTCCTTTGCAACAGTTTTTCTCTATAATGGAAAAAATTGAGAGCCTTAATGAAATCTCTTGCTGCCAGTATCCCACTTGTTTAAAATGCCTTCTCTAAGAAAGAAGGAATTATTGGAGAAAATGGGTAGCAGCTCATGAAACGTCTGGTTGGAGATATGCTTCTTGCTCATTTCTTCTATTACGCAGTTTAAGAGAGGACGCCTACAAAAGGAGGGCATGATCATTGTCTTCCCTTTGCCTATTGGCATCGTTCGGCTTTAACCTGTGAAAGAGAGTCGGATGGAACCTGGCTGACAATTATCATCAATATTGAGCCTCCGTAAGGTGTCCACCTCCCATCCCCTCCATCACCGATGGAGCTGACACGCACATAAATCTTCCCCTGCGCTTAATAAAGTGGGCACCAGGGAACACTGCTGGCACCAGAGGGATGCTGGGTGTTTGGTGTTACGGGGGAAGCATAAAGATTCAGTCACCTGCTTGAGAGCTGACATGATGAATGGGAAGAAGTCGGAGATGAAATTGGAAGGGGGCTGTGTTTTATTTGCAGTGTAGAGCTGACTACAGTATGGCTAAAGTAAACTAGAACATTCAGGCCTTAGCAGGAAAAAACTAAGAAGCTGAGCCTGTGTGACTAAGCCCAGCAATCACGCTTCCTTCCTGGGTGGGTGGGAACTGACGCTGAGGGAGCAGCCGTGAAGCTCCTTACTGATGAGCCCCAGTCCGGGCGTTTCTCCGTGATGGGAGCAGCCGGGCCTGGGAGAGTTCTGGGTCAGTCTGCGCGGGTCCTGCTTGCTGATGGAATGTGTCGGTTCACCTGGCTGGATGTGACTCTCCCTGCTCCTCCTCAGACTCTCCCCCTGAGATTTCTGTCTGCTGCGTGGCTCACTGGGGGTTCAGCTGAGGGGTCAAGGTCCTGAATCAAATCAGTCCTGCGCAACTCCCTCATCGGACAATGGTGACTATTTCATGTTAATCTCAACTTCATGGGAAAACTGTAGAAAATCACTGGCTAAAGAGCATTGCAAACAAACTAAGACCTTTAGAAATTGGAGACCATCATGCTCTACCCCGCAAGCTCTCCCCGTCCTGCTCTACCTGTCATGCTCTACCCATCATGCTCTACCCCTCATGCTCTACCCATCATGCTCTACCCGTCATGTTCTACTCATCATGCTCTACCCGTCATGCTCTACCCATCATGCTCTACTTGTCATGCTCTACCCCTCATGCTCTACCCCTCAAGCTCTACCCATAATGCTCTCCCCATCATGCTCTACCCATCCTGCTCTACCCATCATGTTCTACTTGTCATGCTCTATTCATCATGCTCTACCCATTATGCTCTACCCCTCATGCTCTACTTGTCATGCTCTACTTGCCATGCTCTACCCATCATGCTGTACCCCTCATGCTCTACCCATCATGCTCTATCTAGCATGCTGTACCCGTCATGCTCTACCTATCCTTCTCTACCCATCATGCTCTACCTCTCATGCTCTTCCCCTCATGCTCTACCCGTCGTGCTCTACCCAGCATGCTCTACTCATAATGCTCTCAAGTCCCGGTTGATGCCCATGTTGTCCTTTCCTGCCCCTCCCCTTTCCCGTCCTCCCTCAGGGCCTGCTTTGGCTCTCAGCTCTCATCCTGGTGGCTTCAGAAGGGCTGCCCTTCTGCACTGTGACTGCTATTCCCAGCTCCCCGCTCTTCTCTGCCCAATGGACATATGTCTCTACTGCTTCAAGTTCACACAGAACAGAGACGATGGAGGACAAGGGGACCATCAGGAAGAATGGGCAGCTGGGTTCTGCCTCTGCCACTTTCCACCTCATGTCCTTGGCTGATGTGCTCACAGGCCTCACGGTGCTCTTACCCCCACACTTTATACCAATAGCATAGAGTACTTACTGCATATACTCGATAGCATGTTGTGCTGAGCCAGCATCCGCTGCATGCATCTTGCTTACCGAGTCTCTGGACGGCATCATTTTCTCTGAGCTTGATCTGATCTCACATTGGGTTGGTTGGGCAGGAACATGCTGTCCAGCCTGGTAGCCGGGAGCACGAGGCTGAACTGTGCAGCAAGGTGTGTAGTGGGCTGTACCATCCAGGTGTGCAGAAGTGCACCCTGTGGTAGTCTCAGTGACAAGTGGCCTGTGGACACCTTTCTCAGAACGTCTCCATCCTAAGCAGCACAGGATTAGCGTTGTGTTCATCTTGGTTGTTCGTAGGTAACCTCAGTGGCTGGAATAGCAGTCATAGGAGTTGAAGGGGTACCCTGGGGACAGATAATATTCAACCCAGGGGACTAACTAGGAAAAGATCAAATTCCAGGCAGTGTGAGGACAGTTCGATGGGGATCACTGACGTCTGCTGGTGGGCAATGTGGTGGCAAAGTCTGCGCAGACAGTGAATGTCAGCTCTGGGGTTTAGGAGTTGGGCATTAGGGTGGGTACAGAGCAGCCCTCCTGGACCTGGGAGAACCTGGTAGTCAAGCCAGCTCCTGTGGGCTGAGATATTAGAGTGGGGATGCAGGCAGATATCTTGGGGAGCTCTGTGGGTACCCCAGACGCTGCCCTTGCACTGTAGGTTATTCTGAACCCCACCTTCTGCTAGAAGGATGGCTGTCAACATTCTGCCACAGGTCGCTCAGCACCTGGCCAGGCCTGGTCACTGCAGTGAAGCTGAGTTTGGACAGCGAGGCCCTCACATATGCAGAGCAGGTTTCCTTCATCTAAGACGATGAATGATTCGTTCATTTGTTCATAAAAATCTATCACCTACTTATCATGTGCCAGGGACTGTGATAGACACAGCCGGTGAAAAGGTGAACGAGATATGGCCCCTGATCCCAGAGGCTTCCCCTTCAGAAAGTATTATAAGTCATTTCATACACACACACACACACACACACACACACACACACACACGTATGTATATGTGTATAAATGTGTAAACCTGTTTGTATATGGTATGTCTATACATATGTGTATATACATGTGTGTGTGTATACATATATTTAAATGCCTGTTTTCAGTTCTAAGCCTGATTTTTGCAGTGTTTTGATAGTTAAGGTTCCAGGTTGACCAGTTGCTCAGCATCTATTGCAAAGGCCCCTCCCTGTACATTCTGCAAGGCTAATAAAAGGCTCCTGCATCTCTGAGGGCAACATGCCCAAATGAGTTGTTTTCTGCTCATAAAATATTAAAGGATTGCTACATTCTGATTGAGTACCAGGCATCAGATGATGAAACAGCCTGTGGTAAGAGGGAAATTGCTTTTTAATGGATTGCCTCATGCCCATTGCCATATTAAATAAGCTACTAATATGAAAAACAAATCAGAGTGCACCCTTGTGTGGAAGGAGACGTCTATTTTTCTTCTGAGAAAATTAGTTTCATAAATAAATCCATCATCTTTGGGCTGGGTTGGGTCTGCTTTTCTCCATTTCTAAGTTCATGGTTTTTCTCAGATTTGTGTCAGTGATTGACCCATGGCCACTTTAGAGCCTTGGAAGATGTGACACAGAAGAAGAGGTACGTGAGTGTGTGGAGTCACTAAGATGAAGAGGAGAGGAGCTGGGCAGTTCTAAATGCACGTGTGCAGAACCCATGGACACGGGCAGAGTGTGGTGAAAGCTGGGGGAGATGCAGGGTTGAGGGGGTGGGTCAGTGGGGGAAAAGGGGACATCTATAATGCTTTCAACAATAAAGATAATTTTTTAAAATTTCAGGCAGTAAGAAGTGTAGATGGAAAGACCAGGAGGTGCAGAGAATTCTGCGTCCATGTGGGAGCCAATAGAAGAATGTTAATAGGCAGAAACATCCCAGTCCTGGGCATGAAATCCTAGAATTGGGGTATGTTTTCTGGGTGTGACAAGAACTCATGAGCATGAGACTGTCCAGGGCCAGGGGCAGGGATAGTCCTGATCCGGGTACTGTATCCATCCGGGGCTTTCAGCTGCAGGTAATGGGAATCCCAACTCAGAATGGCCAAAGTGAGAAGAACGTCTGTTGAATGTCATAATGTCAGAGTGGAGTAGGTCCTAGCGTTGGTTGACTGCTCAGTGATGTCATGGAGGACCCAAGGTGTCTCCATCATTTGGTTCTGCCATCCTGGGTGTAGCACCTTTGTGCTGAATCTGGTAGCAGAACAGTGGCCCCCATGCCCCGCGGAGCAAGGGGCTGTCTTCCCGTGAGCCTCCTAGGTTTGCGAAAATGTCTCCAAGCGTTTCTCTCATATCTAAGTGGCTAGCACCATGGCCTGAGCCCTTGCCTAACCCAGACATTGAGGAGGGGAGTGGAACCTTCTGGATGTCAGACTCCCTAGTGTGGAGGTGCAGCCCACCTCTCCTGGGTAGCTGGCCATGGGATGGGGGGCAGGTAAAGGAAACCGGGGCTGGTTAAGGCAGGGAAAGTAGTGCAGTCTGTCCCTTTACTCTCGGGAGGCTGCTCTGCCTGTCCCTTGCTGCTGCAGAAAACTGTGACAGGTGAGGCCAGATCGCAGCCCCCCGACAGCGCCTCCATTGGGAATTGGGGGAATGCGGCGGTAGGTTTTTGTTTGTTTGTTTTTGTTTTTTCTTAACGTAGCAATATCAGAGGTTGCAGAAAAAACAGAACTTGAGGCTTTAT